TAATTGTTCTTAATTTGTTAAAGTGTTCATATATGTATATATTACTATATACAAAGTTTATTAGTCAAGTATCTATCACATTTTATAGATACAGGTGCATTTGCCCTTATATGGATTTATCTTGTGTTTACACCAACTTTGCTATTTACAGTATATCATTTTGTATTCCTTTATTCTAGGATTTTCCCTAGAATAGATACCATATTCGGGACTTCCCAAGCAAGTTTCCATCCAGAATTAGAGTTTCTAGGTTTTAATGTGCACCCTAACCAAATATGGCTACTCTCTTTGTTAGAAGGTACAAACGCTCCATATCCTTGATAAGACTACTTTCGTTAGAAAGTTAGACCCAGATTACAGATTCTTATAATCCAACTTCCACCAAATAGTTACTATTACACAAGTAGTTTTTCGAATTTTCTGTCACCGATGGGATTTGAACTCTGGGCTTGTTACTTGGGGGGTAACAACCTAACCACTTTACTATGTCGCTACACCCTTTAGTACTTTATTCATTTTTTTTTTAATTATAGAAGAATTAAAAATATAAAAATTATTTGGTAAAAGCAAAAGCTTTTTATACTATTTACTTTACTCTTGATATTATGCTTGTGATATTTATTATAGCAATAACCTTTTTTTTTTTTATATATTTATATATCGAAGAGAGCTTTTAAAAAGAAATTATAGCCAGCTTTCCCTAAATATGACTCTTTGAAGTACATTATCTTTCTGAATATAATCTTTAACTCTTGCCCAAATATATATTAGACTTTAAAGATATATTTTTTTTTATTATTTTATTAATGCAAGTTGACAAAGTCTGATTTCTATAAGTTATATTTAGAGAAGGCTAACTATACTGTTATATATATTCTTTGTTTCTTTTGCTACTGAATATTCCTTAAAATTATATATATATTTTTTTATTTTGCATATCATTAATATATTAACTTTTTCTTTAAATTACAGGTTTTATGATATTGGTCAAAGGAAGCTGTATCAAAAAGAGAATATACATATAGATAGGTATATATCAGAAAAATTTTAAATTGGTTAGCAATCAATTAATGGAAAAAAATATCAATCAATAAGCAGTATTTCAAGTAATATTGATTAAAATCGATTGATAACAAAGCTAATTAAAAATTAATTAAAATTATTTTGATTAAAATTAATTAATATTAAAACTGAATTAAAATTGATTATATATCGACTAGCTACAATATTGATTATTGTTGATTTTTTTAATTGATAGTAACCATCTCTGTAGCTGGTAATTGATATCAACTCTATTTAAATTTTCTGATAATGATACCTAATGAAATTGCAGGTTTCATGGTATTGGTTATAAGAAGCTATATTAAAAAGAGAATATGTATATAGGCAAGCATATATAGTACCTGAATGAATTTACAGGTTCTATGGTATTAATATTAAAAAGAGAATATACATATAGATATATGTTGTATCTGAATAAAATTATTAGAATTGTAAGAATTTTTTTACTTTTGTACAGAAAATTGGCATTTATTTATGCAGTTTGAGATAGTACAAAATCAAAGTTGACAAATAGAAGGCATATTAAAGTATGAGAAGAATTTGTGAAGAGTAATTAATATGGTTGATTTTAATATGATTTGCTAATTAACTCTACTATAATATTTTTATATAGTATAGACGCTTGACTTTTTGAATAAATAAGCTATAAGTTTTTTATGCTGATCGATAATTTTCAATTCTGTTCATTATCATTTAATTTATCTTCTGTAATATTATTATTGTCAAAAACAGTTAAATTAATTGTTATCGTTAAAGAAAGTTGTATATAGTCAGATGATATGCAAATGTTCTTCCATATCATTTTTTTAGCTTCTTTAATTATTGTGGCAGATCATAATGAAATCAGATTAAAATGAAACTGGGAACCTTTCTTGCTTATTTTTAAAGCTTATAAAACTCACTTATACTCTTTTATTAATAAAACTAACTCTAAACCCTAACTTTAACACTAACCCTAACTCTAAAAAAATATCCCCCAAAAAATTTTAAATTTTTCTAAAAAAATAGAAAAATTTCATTTTAATCTGATTTCATTTTAATCTGCCACAATTATTAGATAATTTAAATTTCACTAAACCTTATTTAAAAATTATTAATAATAAATATATGTTTTCAAAATACAATATAAATAAATCTATTAAACCTTCCTAAAGAATATTACTGATGCTAATTTTCAAGATTTTCAGGTTCTATAGATTTTCTTGCACTTCACGAATATCCATATTCCACTCTTGAAGTTTCTGTTTTTTTTCTTTATTTATATATATTAAACATTCGATACATGTTTTTTTATTACTTTCAAATTCATTAATTTGGTTTATTTTTTGACAAATAAATATTTTTTTGGATTTGATTGGACAGAACAATTGGCTTTTACTAGTTAAATTTTTACAAAATATAGTAAAAAAGAAATTTTTGAACAATCATTGTAACGATACTGTATTATAAATAGATATCATCATAAATTACTAATATACTATTATATTAATTTTCAGAAGGTAATTTTAAACAGTGATTACATAACTGATTTTGGTGGTCATACTAGGTTTGTAAGATAACAGTCATAAACTGAGTTTTGTTATCAATGGTCTGTTAAGATAGTAGTTATTAAGTTTTTTTTTTTGCTTTACTTTAATGACACCAGTTTACTGGTAAGTGGCAGGGTTTTTTTTAGAAATTCTGGTTTTTTTTGCCCTGCCTTCCAAAGATATATCTTAGTAACACTTGTAGCAATAGTAATGCAAGTTGCTTCATTCAATACTCTCGAATTCTGTTCTGATAGTAGTTATAGCATGAAAACAAAAGAGACAAATAACTCATAATTGATTTTTTTCATTGATTTTCATTTATAACCCCCAATAAGAAACAAATATCTGGTATTTATGAAGACTAGAGATATACCTGCTATATATTTCTTATTCAAATCAATAATTTATACTAGCTAGATATTCTTCAAAACATGAAAATGCTATTATTTGATATATAATATAAATAGCATCCAGATATAGATAGGATTCTTATCCTTCGGGTATAACTCATAGAGAATTTAATGCTACTTTATAGTATAATCTGATTGGTAAATTCATCATTTCATGTGATTTTTTATTAATTTTTATTGGCTAGGGATATTAACAGGGATATTAATTATAAAAAAAATCATTTTATGTTGATAGGGATATCAATAGAAAATATTAATAAAGTTGATACGTATATGTGGGGGAATTCTTATATATGGAAATTTATTTTGTTAATAAAGTTGATATTAACAGGAGGTTGATATTAACGAGGTTGATATTAATGGAGGTAAACTGTATTATAATTTTTTTTAAATAAATATTGTATTATAATTATTTAATAATTATAAATTGTTTTTTTTTTTATTAAAATTTATTAAATATATATTTAAAAAATAAATTTATTTAATATTCATGGGTAGCGAAATTCGCCATTCTTAATAATTTTTGGGTCAGGGCGCAGTTTTAGAATAAGAGTTTTATATAACATAATGTAGATTAGATGTAAGATTCCAATCTTAGTTCTTGTGAGGTTTTCAGGGTCTTGAACATTTTTACTTGGACTCTCTGACTTTAATTACCTAGTATGTTTTTGAAATATAGCACCCCCGGTGAATTTCACCTCTGGTAAGCGTTAAAATCGTTAATTTTACTTAATATCAATTCGCTATTTTGATTGGTGATTGCTGATATGCAAGTTCGGAAGACTTGTGTAACCATAATTTCTATATCGGGACGTTCTTACCTGTACTTGCTGTCGTAAAAACAAAGTGTCCTCCGCTTCGCTCCGGACAATAACCTAATCAAATAAAAAACCTCTCTTCTTTCCTCTAAAATCAGTTACTAGATATAAATGTATTGAAGCAACTTTTGTTTTAAATTAATTACAGCCAGTGTTGTCAATGAACATAGACATGAACATGAACTATTCATGAACATGTTCATGGATATACAGAAAATATAGACACGTCCATGTCTAATTTATAATTTATGGACATGGACATTAAACATTGTTTATGGATTGTCTATGAACTGTTCATGTCCAATAATTTTGCTTGGGCATATGTTCATGTACAACACTGATTACAGGTATATAATAATATATTGTTATGATTTATAGATCTTTTTGTTTTGAGTAATAACGATACTCTCAAATCTACACTGTTAGTATATATAACACAAAGTAAAAAAAAAAAACAAAATACTCATAGTTGCTTTTCATTTGTAACACCTCTCAATGAGAAACAAAAAGATAGATACTGGATATTACATATCCTCTATTAAAAATCGCATCTAATTTATTTATTTTACATTTTAAATTTATCGCCCATCGCATAATTTACCCTATCACATTGCATAATTCTGGACACCCTAACCCGGGTTCAGGGACGATAATTTTATGCAAATCACATAATAACGCGCAGAGGTGTAATTTCGAATTTTGGCCTAAATTAGGCTTAACTCGGGCCATTATTCGAAATAACGCCCCTGCGCGTTATTTCGCGCTTATACGGTAACAGGTTTTGCCGCATAATGTTGCATAAAATATGGTTCATTATCGTATAATTGGTTCTAAATACTTGTTCCGAAAGGCTCCGAATAGAAAATCAACACAAATTACGAGCAAGGTTGAGAAAAAAAATTGGAACTATTTCGAAAGATGGCTTGCATACTAAGTTAGTTATAAAACTGCGCATTTTATGTGCAAGACTACAAAATACTCGCATAATATTAAGAAAATATATGATTTACTTTTGTTGCGTGGTTTATTGCAGCATAAAATCATCGTCCCTGCCCGGGTTAAACGGGTCACCCGATAGACTCGGGGGACCCGAGTCACGTTTTTTTAAGCGAGTCCAATCACTACTTCTAAAATGTTTGCCTGCTATAGATCGTAATCGAGCGTTGGTCTTTAGTAGATTAGGCTCGCTGAATGATTCATGCAATGATGACAATGTTTTATTTATTCTCGCCTTTGCTGGTATCCAAGCTGTAGAAGTACTAGATTCCAATTTTGCAGGTATTAAGTTGACAACTGGTTTTTCTTGAACGGGTTTATTATCTAATTTTTCTTCACTTTCTGATTCTAAATTAATAGTTGGAATCGCTTCCGGTTCCGGCTCCGGTTCGGACACCTTAACGTCTTCTATGTCCAGATTAGGTTGTTCCTGTTGTTCCTGAGATCCGTCTTCCCCAACTTTAATATCACCTTCGTAAATTCCCCCTTTACCAAAGCTTACAAAGAAAGGCGCGTCATCCATATTTGGTAAGACTATAGAGTCCATTATCATTTCATGAATTTTGGATTCTATAGCGTTAATAATTGGAGAGAATTTCAACTGCGTTGCTGAAACAATGGGCTCTATTAGTAAATCCAATTTTGGCATTTCATAAAAACCAAACCATATTCGGTTCGTTGGTGGAGCTTTAATACGCAACAACAATTTTCCTTACATTACAAATCCCAAATTAATAGAATTAGCACAGAATGGTGAATTAAGCGTGGAACTTAATGTTAATTATAATGGTGGATTTCGCGCAGAAATAGAGACAGAAGCAATTATTACAGTAACTCGACTTAAAACGATAAAGGTTCCACTAGTTCTAGCTGTTGTATTGAGAGGATTGACAGG